TATACGAAGATTAGTAGCCATACATTGTAAAATAAGAATAAGCAAAATTTGATACCTACTAAAGTTCGTATAGATGCATTGCAATGACCATCGAGCCAAACCTTCGATTATGTTTATAGATAAATCGTAATTGCGTTAATACACTGGAGTATATTAATATTTTGAACATACCTATTTAAACTAGACTTATAAATTATTGAATACAGAGGCACAGAATTAATTTGTACACATAATATTTCACAGCATGAGTTCTTATGCATTTCGTATAGCAGTCGCGTGAATTTAGCTGTAACGGCAATCGATTGCGGTCGAGTTTCGAGATCGAGTCGACTAATGTCATTATGACATCGCAGGTTCTCTGGATTTTGCGTGGTCGATTAAGCTTTTTCTCAACGAAACGAATTTCGTACGTCCGCGTGTTCGTAATGAATTATTGCGGAAAATTATTGACGGAATCGTTGAAGATTTTCTGGGTGAGGTGTATTATTTATTGTCCATGCGAATGTTACTAGCAAAAATTGGCGCACGATTAAATTTGGCACGTGCGGGAGATTCACAACTTGTAATTGTTTCCCTATTGTAAACAGAACGAAAATATCGCACAATGCCTCGAAATAGATGTTCCGTAGCGTTCTTAAATTTTATCATTTCTTGTTTGTTTGTTTTTCCAAAGCTAATCGTTTTACGACGCCGACTTAACCTTTATTCGTGCTACAGATAAAAGTCAATGTTTCTGTCATAAAGGTGGTCAGTTTTAAAGTAAATAATTTGTTGATATGCAAAACGTATTTCCTAATAGATTGACAAGTGTAATTAGTGGTATACTTTTATTTAATTTTTCTGTAAATTGATGAATAACATCATACTTCTATTTACATGTTACAGTTTCCTGGTGAGTGCATCCTCACATACATGGAGTTTCAGCTGGATAGTGCAGAATACTGCCAGGCTCAACACAAATAGAGAGACACGCCCAAACACCCTAGAACTCGCTAGGTATCATTAAAGGAGGAGTAAGGAGGAATATCTTAATCGGGCAAAGGAAAATTTGATAATATTGGGATTGTTGCCTCAAAGTCAGAAAATCATCAGCTAGTCATCACGCGAGACATAGAGGGTTTTAATAGAATCAATTGTTAATTTACACTATTAAATGCAAGCGTCATAGTTACTGAGCGCACCTGATCCAGGCGCACCCAGTGCCAAATAGGTAAGAATCAACATTAGGAATCTTGTAGTGTTTTCAAATAAATCTATTTCTTGTAAAATTAGTGGCAGCTCTCATGAAAATCTTCTTCTTTTTCAGATAATCTTCCGAATCGTAGTCAAGGATTCCAAGTGAGAATCAATCGCATATCAACAACGCCTAATGTAACGTAGTCCTCACCCTTCGGCGAAATTCGCACCCCCACAACCCTTCTCGAGGTCTACATGTGAACCCACTGTTCTGTCCTCTGTAAAAAAATAAACAAGTATTCAATTAGTTAAATGAGAAACAACTTAATAAGACTGACATCTATGGGCTAAGTTGTCAAATTCAGCCTTTGTTGCTTCGTATAGTGTGGCACGTTTTAAAAGTGAAGAGGAACAGTGTCGTACAAAATCATTAAAAAAAGAGTTAGAACGATAAAAACAGTAGGAGTACACCACTTGTTGTCCAAGAGGAAATGAGCAACATGAGGGTGAAGGACATCAGGCCGGCGCCCGCCGAAATCGAATACAAAAACATGAAGTTCCTCATCACTGATCGGCCCAATGATCAGACCATTCATACTTTTATTCAAGTATGTCTTCTGGTGTCCTTTATTAAATATCACCAGGAATTTCATTTCATGATACATCGTAATTAACAAACTCCGTTGCTTGATTAGGAACTGAAGAAGCACAATGTGAAAGAAGTAGTGAGGGTCTGTGAACCAACGTACAAAGTTGAGGAACTTAAAGAAGAAGGGATCAATGTCATAGACTTGGTGTTCGATGATGGCACATTTCCACCAAACGAAGTAAGTATAGCGGTTATTGGTCTAGAAAATGTAAATTGATGAATAAATTTGTATTCCAGGTCGTCGATGAATGGTTCGAACTGCTGAAAAATCGATTCCGTGAGTCTTCTGATGCATGCGTGGCAGTGCATTGTGTCGCGGGACTTGGCAGGGCACCAGTCTTAGTTGCACTTGCTCTTATTGAATTGGGTCTAAAGTATGAAGATGCAGTTGCGTTAATCAGAGAGTAAGCGTACACTTACTATTCCCAATGGTTCAGACTTTGTGTTTTGTACGTCGAACAGTAACGACAATTGTATGTATTTGTTTAGAAAAAGACGAGGCGCCATCAACGCAAAGCAGCTGGCCTACCTTGAAAAATATCGTCCCAAATCTCGGTTGAAGCTCAAAAATGGACAGAAGAACTCCTGCTGCGTCCAATAGATTAAACGATTTCTTTGAAAAGTTACTAATTCATACTGATTGGTATACCTAATTGTATAGGTTTTCATGCCTGGTAACAAGAGACATACTGTACCGACTCTGTTCTGAAAGGCCTATATCAATGGAAATGCAACCGAACTACTTACACAGTTTTAAACGTCATATTTTGCATCATCCGATTCTCCGTTATAAATCGAGCAATTGAAAAGTGAAATTATTTATAATTATTTTCACACTTACCTTTTATGAAATTTTTGTATTTATTTTTTATATCGAATCAACGTTAAATCCTATTGAACAGGAAGAAGCCTTCTACTTACGATAAAAGGAGGAATAAATTTGAATGGATCTGATTACCTATATAACAAAAAATTAGATCAACTTGTACATTACACGACATACATACTTAGTGTCTCGTTTAAGATTATTTTGTACAAGAACTTTGGAAGGCTGCATTTATTTGGTCCAAGAAAATAAAATATGCAATACGTTACCAATCAATTTATGAATCTTAGTTGACGCGTTATTTATATAAAATATTTTAGGGATAGTTGGAGAAAACATTTCAAATTCGCTTGATATCTTGTAAAGATATAGTTCCTTTGGTGCTACGGTCGTATCTAACTGTCATAGAACGTAGCTTTTTAGACGAATTAGTGCAATAAAAACTTACGTTTTCTAGGACAATTGAATACAAAAAATGTATAAGTGTCTTACCAACAACAATTTTTAATCAATTTTAATCATGAGAAATTAATGATCGTAAACAGAAATGCACATATGACATTAACCAAGGAAATTAAATAAAAGCAAGATCTGTACGTGTCTTTCTTTTACAATCAATGAAATAATAAGTTAAAATATATTTATTAAAGAACATGCATCTTAAACACTTGATAAAGTGTGCTTTGTACAACAATAATATGTACATTGTAGGTGATCCAACCTGATCGAGTTTGATTAAACTGGTATGTACATTATGTATATTGCAAATATTATTTGAACGCAGTTCTTTACTCTCATAAGTAACGGAAATTAATACTCAACTTAAATCAAGCATTTTAAGCGACTCAATATATTGTTAACAATTAACATTAAAATGCAACATATATTTTGAGACACTTATCACATTTGTAAAGAGTACTAAATTTGTATAAAATAAAAAGGTAACAAAAGTTCTCAGATACTTTAATGAACAAATCTGTGAATACTAGTTTTAAAACATAAACTAAAGTAGAAATAACGATTTATCCGACGTCGATTTTGATTAATATAGGACGAGATACTGATTTGCTTACAACCGCTTTTCGCGGTTCCAATATGCTAGTATTGTTCCTTTATACAGTAATGATTCACGCTATCCAGGCGTGTCTCTAGATCAAGCCTTAACAAGGAGTCCACTAGCATTTTCAGACGAAACAAAAATTTTACTCTAACATTTTTAAAATTAATGACCATTAAATATGCGACGATAAGATTGCAGAGTCTTACATTAATTAAAATTAACGCTAGGTAATCCATCACTTTAGGTTATGTCTTAAAATACACTGCGACTAAACAATTATTTTTCTATTTGGAATACTACTTTTTTAAATGATCAACATAAACGAAAGAAGCACAGCGTTGCATTTCCAATGGCATGCCGAATCGATGGGTGTTCTTAACTCTTATTGGACTTGGAATCTGCGTTAACTTGAATAACGAATATTGGGAAACAAAATGAAGTAATTATCACTCCAGAGTTATATATCACTTTTATCGTAGCTTAACGGCAATTTCACCAAAATTTTTTAAACATCTACTTTTATTCGATAAATTTTAGAAGCTGCATACGCGTTTTGTGTGAAGCGTCGTAATTGTATTCGCGATTTTGGTAAAATTGTCGGTGATGCTGTACGCCACACTAAACTGTGTTCAAAAGATAGATGAAAAAGAATTCGCTCCTAAAATAATGAATGTAATACTTAGATCATTTCATGTGTCTGCTGATTTGACGTGAATGTACATTTCGGCATGTATTAAGATACGTGAATTGTGTTTACCGTTTCGTGCTTAGTTAAGATTGTGTACAAGAGTGATGTGAATTGTCATAGTCGATGTTTGTGTTTATTTTTTTCTCCAATTAGTATATAAGAATTCCAAATGACATTTTTCTACGAAACTGACTAATGAATTTAATTACACGATGTTGCGTGCGTCGCTAATGACAGTCTTTGTCCTTTTTGTGCATAATTTTTACGTACCAGTAAGTACGAGTACATTCACCGTGATCGCAGACTCGAAATGAAATTTGAACCTGGTACAGCTCCTTTTTTGTAATGTTAAAAAAAAACTGCAATATTTTTTACCAGAGGATGGGACGAGGGACATACGTAAAAAAAAAGAAAATTATCGAGCCTTAGATCCGAAATTGAATAACTTTTACTATTCAGTTTTCTTTTAGTTCAATTTCTATGACAATTGTTACGAACAGTAATGTGTAATGTTTTTTTTTCATACAATCCTTTTTAAAGTAAGATATCGATACTTTAATTAGGTAAAATCTAACATTCATTGGAAAGTTACCAACGAATATTTTTTTTTTTTTATCACGTAGAATTTAATTTTTGCACATCGATTCACTTCTTCAAGCGACATATTTCATTGCCAGAAATAATTATGTATATGAGTGAATATCTTTTATCTGTGATACATTTTTGCGGAGAAAATCGAAAGTTAAAAAGGGATAAAATATGATTGGCCTTGCTAAACAAATGCTTATCATAACTTACAATTTCCAAATTTGAAAGTTAATGGACATTCGTAGAGTTCTTATTTGATTAAATCGTATATATTAATGTGTTTTGATCTGAATATTTACGATTGCATCTTACTCGAAGAATTGAATCGAAACACTTTAAAAATGATATTTTATTATTTAAAAAAAAAAAAAACTATGAAAACATTTTGAAACGTGTATAGGTTAAATTGCCATTCTTTTATAATGGTAATCGTGAACATCGTTTTCATATAATATTTTGTGTTTTATGTTTAAAAACGTTTCAATTCATGAATACTGCGAACAGAAACAATTTAGGTAGCAAAGAAATCCTCTATTTTGAACCGACGTAATAAAAAATAAAAGTCCTTTGAAATCGATTAAGCGGAAAAATGAATTTAACGAGTTAGCGCAATTTAAACAAAAATTACTATTATATATTTAATTTGTTAATGTAATTTCCTACCTACTGCTCTATTAATGACATATGATTAAATTAAACGAAAGTTTTGTTATATTGTAAAACATCAGTAATGAAATAAAAAAAAGAATGGAAGTCGTTTTGTGAAGAAATCAATCGTTTTTTGATATCTCATAAACCAACTGTGTTTTATCAGTACGAGATATTTTTACGAAAATATTTAAATGCAATAGAAATTTATTTAAACAATTCCTATTAGTTTTTTTTTTTTACAAAATTATAAGTATACGCAAACATTGTGTACAGAGGTAAGAACTGGATTAATATATTTTTCTTATTTATACAGTTACTTCATTTATTTTACATAAACATATCGTCGTATCCTGGCGGAGGTAAGTGGTCATTGTCTTGACCTTGACGTGGTCTTGGTCGATCGATGTCCGGTGGACCAAAAGGATCGAATCTCGCATAAGGGGGGACAGCTCCTCTGCGATAAGGTAATGTTTAAGAATCTTAATATAAGTTGTAATTAAATATTATATACTTGATCTTATTAACGTACGGTGGTAGTACTCCTGGAACTCCTAAAGCTGGCCTAAACGGATTGTGGGGACGGCGTCTTTCTGGCGGGAAGAGATCGTAAATCATACCACCTCCTTGTGCTAAGGGATTTAAGTCCGCAGACCCTACATTTCTTGGATCTGTATCAGGTCGCCTTAAAAATTGTAAATATAGCACAAAAGTAATATTATTTCAGGTATATCGCAGATGTAATAGAATTCTAGTCATTTGCAGAATTCTACTTGTTGAATAGGTAAGTTTTAATTCTGACTATTTCTACTATGAAGTTCAAGTATTAATGAACTGTCTTCGAGATTCATGTCAGTATTGAAGTGAAATCTGCAAAGATTTTCTTTTCTTTATGAATCATATGATAAGAATATTACCATGGGCTTGTTGCTGATGCTGGACGTGTTGAGGGTACTCTTAATGGATCAGTCTCTCTTGGAACACGCTGTTCTGTATTTACTGTTGCTGTTTGGGTAGAATTCTCTGCAGTATTTGGAGGAAGTATCGGCTCAACAAGATTTGTTTGAATTGTTTGTAAAACATTTTGGTACGGAGGCATTACAGATTCTAAGGGTCCATGGAGATTACTTATGGTTGCATTAATTGGAAATTGGGCATTGGATACATTTTGATCGTTCATCCTCTATAAACAAAGTATTTGTAATTAATGTATTATCGCGTGTGCCGAAAATTAAAAAAATATATTTCGTAAATATAATTTCAAATTACCAACAAGTTCAGAAGTAAATCTTCATCAGATTTTACACCGTGGAATATATACAATTTTTTATCGTTTACATAACGTAAAGCGTAAATTGGTTGTGTGTTCCATCCCTCTGGAAGTAATTCTGATCCCTTTTCCGATGTATCGTACGCTTTCTAAATAAAAAAATTGTTTAAATCGCATTGAAATATGTTATTACATTACTCAAACGTATTTAGTAACACAAAATTGAAATCGTCTGAAATGTCAATTTAAACTGCAATATTATTAAATGATTCGCGATGGCTGACAACAAATAAAAATAACTACAGACATTTTACAGGTTAGGTGTTACAACAATCACGAACTAATAAGAGAATGTATTCGCAATTTCTTATTATTATACGAATAAACTGGGCAAAAATTATTGTCGGTATTGCGTGACTGACAGCAACAATGTTTTTTATTGCAACTTACGCTATCGCCGAGGCCAATACATCTGAATCCATTTTTCACAAAATACCAGTGAACGAACAGGATTAGAACGTCTTCCTTTTTCACAATTTGCGTGTCGTACAAACTTTGTAAAAGCTCAAAGCCGAACATTTCGGTTTCATCGACCATTTTGATTGAGAATGACAAACGAGTTTGAAGTTATGAAGTTCACGCCATCGATGTCTGCATTCGACTAACCATTTGATTTCCGGTACCGGATTTAACTGTTATTTAACGATTTGAACATATCGAAGATGAACTTTGAATTTCATTTTGTCAATTTATGGAAATAGTTTATCAACATTTCATGTATTTAAATCATGGTTATTATAATTGTAATTTCATTTTGACGTTGGAATATAACGATAGAAAACAAATGAATTCGTAACATTTGCCACTTCTAAGCTCAAACCAGCTTAAACATTTGATATGACGAGAGGTGAACTTATTGGAGTGATCTTCTAATCGAAATATGATTGTGTATGAAATAATAAATAATTCATCCTGTGGGTGACTTGGGTTATAAACGAAGTTATTAAAATACAACAACTTATTGAAAAACTTATATATTTTGTTTATGAACATTGTAGAAAACTACAGTACAAAATTATTGCGTCTTTTAGCATTCCAATAGGGAGATTCATTAAACAAAAATTTATACAAAAAAACAAAAATACTATACGAGGCACTAAAGAAATATTTTTATCTGTTATGTATGTACACAAAAATTCGAACTTTCTGCCAGCAGTTACTTGTCACATAAATATAATTTCTGAAGAATTCAGCTTAGTAATTAGAATCAGAATCAGTGTCTTCTTCGAATATGTTGGCTGTTGGAGGAGGTGACGAACTACCCAAAATTTCTTCTTCGCTTTCTGGTTCAGCGACATCTTCACTTTCCAAAGCATATCGTCTCCAAGGAAGTCTGCAAAGACAAAATATTTACGAACTATTTTATTCTCAAAATTATTAAAACGAAAACAAAAGTCGTCTCAATTTACCGTTTCTTTTCATTGAAACAGTCTTCAATGAAAGTATGTGAAACTATTTTAGCGTGACCCTTTAATTGCTTATGCTTTGGTGTATTTTTAAATGCGCAAATCAAATGAGTACATTTTCTATTAGTCGTGTTAGGATCGGCAATATATCGCGCGCCCATTTTTAGAGCTTTTCTTCTAATTTCATCTCTTTGGGGGTTAACATATCCGCTGAGGGAAAAGGTAATATCCTCAAAAAGTTTGGAAAACATTTTTTTTGGTTTCTGAGATTCAGCACTTTTCTTTTTTGGAGATCTTTTTGGTTCTGGTATTGGTTTAGGTTCAGGCAATCGTCCACAGGTTTTGCAAACTTTATCTTCTTCATTTTGGCATTGGGAACAGCTACGTTTCTTTTTATTTATGTTCTCCTTTGAAGAACTTTCATGACTTAAGGACCGTTTTCTTGAAGTATGTTTCTGTGAATTTTCTTCAGGGCTTGAAGAACGATTTCTTGAATTTGTACTATGTCTCTGATTTTTATTCATTTTAGGCGATGGTGTAGGCACAATATCACCAAATGGAGTTCTTACTACTGGTTTATTGTTTGATTCATTTATCTTATCAATGATATAGATATCTTTGGCTTTAGAACTACTTACAGAAGGTGAATTAGTGACTTCTTCCTTTTTAGCTCCAAATACTTCCTCAGCTTTTCCAGCTTCTAATTTCTCCAACAGTGGTCTTTTCATAGCTTCTTTGTTTTCTTCTTGACGTTTCGAAAAATTATTCATACTAGTTTCTTTGATTTTTGAAAGTAATTCACCTTTGTAGTCTGGTTTTTTAGTTGTAGTCAATTTAAGGTACTTTTCTTTAAAATCATTTACAGATGATTTACTATCATCTTCTTCAGACTGTTTCAACTTAAACCTCCCAAAAACATCCAATCCTAAATCAACTGTGACTTCTGTTTTCAGCACAATAAAAGATAGCCCAAACAATTCTTTCAAGTTTGCAGATTGCATACAGGTCACTTTTACCCGGTCAAATTTTATCTTCAAAGTGGAAGGGTTTAGTTCCTTCTTTGTAAATATCTGCACTTGGTCTCTAAACTTGCCATTTGCTGCTTCATCGTGCGTCATAAATTGGTGGTTTACTATGGGAATCCAATTGTCGGGTTCTGCGGATGTGGAAGCAGTAACAATTACAACACAGGTACGGTAATTGCCGATATCCAATCCTGTGATGCAAGATGGTTCTTTCAATTGAAAAATAACAGTGGCAAGCATTTCTGCTGGTTTGGCACATCTCCACGAACTGTTTGAATTATGCTGAAGCAGATTGGATGCAGGGTAAGATAGGTGTTCCGAAGAGCAGCTTATTATACTTGCTAATTTAATAATCATTGTTTTTCAGATCTACTATGGAAGTGTTCTTCATATAGAAACATAAACATTTATCATCACAGCACCTGTAAAGTTGAATAGATGTCAGTGCTTACATTTTGAAGATCAGTCATAATAACCTACCTTTTACTTCATGTAATCATTACATGTAAATATATGCATGTATGTAGTAGTCTAAGTACAAGTAACAAATTTTAATTCCTTTATTACTTATAAATGAGTCGTCTCACGATTTGTATCATAGTGCAATTATATCACAATCACGCGTGTCATGTACTATACATACGGCAAAATTAACCGCAAAATCGTGTATCCACACTAAAATATATCTATAGATTTTATTACGTATATTAAGATTGTTGGACAACATACAACAACGCAACAAAGTATGTTAATTAATATTTTTCAACTCTTGTTAATGTAAAAATTTAAATCTATACCAAAGCTTTGAGTAACGCGGGAACGTACGCGCAAACTTTAACTGAATTTTTTCATATTTTAGAAAAAAACTGAGGTTCATATTACTTTAATACATTATTCAACTAGTAAGTTGTTTGCAAATAGGTTCAGTGGCTTGGTTTAGCTTTATTTAAAGCGCGTTGTTGTTAGTTTTATAATGTACATACTTGTACGTTATATCTGTTTTTTATTTTATAAATTGGAGTAGCATTGTGTACATACATACATATTAGTGGCGTCTCGGTGGGGAAACGCCCAAGTTTGTAGTAAAAATAATTCCTACCGATATATATTAATGAATTATACTGCTTTTTTTTTTTAATAAATGCATAATTAATACGTTTCATTGATTTATGACACTACAATATATTATTGTAGATGTATAATATAAATTATCATTTTTTATGAATATTTATTTAAAGTTTAGTTAGTGGCGCCATTTAGCAGCAACAGTGGGAAATCTTTTCACTATAAACTTGGGCCTTTTCACTACAAACTTGAGCCTTTTCCCACCGATGGCGCCACTGATACTATTATTATTATTATTATCTTTATTATAGTGCATGGGTGTCATACAACTATTGAGCTCTATCCCAACTAAAGTGTGAACTGCGAGAGAGAAGCCGGTCCGTGAGAGATGCAAGATGAGTGGTTCCGGTGGTACTATCCTATAGCAAATTTATGTGTGGAGGAAGAACAGACTCCTTTTTGTTTGAATTTCGCGGCACTAGAAATTATTTACAGATTAAGGGTGCGCAGGACCCAGAGCCAAACTCCGAGTTGACTTCAGCGACAGTCGCGGAAAAAGTAGGAAACTCCGGAACAAGGACAGAGAGGGCGATACAACGATTGCAGGAGAGACGAGGACAGGGCGATTAGGCTAGTCAAGCTAAGTGAATCAAACTATTGAAGCAAAGAAGCAATATTTTCTAATAATTCTGGTTTCGAAATATTCCTTATACCTTGGCGCATGCCACTGTAAGGCCCGATTTTGGAAAAAGTGTTTGTAAACAAATTTATTCTATAAGAAAAAAAAACCATACTTTTATTATTTATTAAGTTTCAAGATCGAAATTGCAAAATCGGCTTGGTTAGAGTGACATGCGGAGTGATGTAAAGAATATTTTAGAAAAAGAATCGTGAAAAAATATTGCTTCTTTGCTTCAATACCCTTGCCAAGAATCATGGTAGCCTAATCACCCTGTCCTCATCTCTCCTGCAAATGTTGTATCCTGTTCTCTCTCTCTGTCCTTGTCCCGGAGTTTCCTACTTTTTCCGCGACTGTCGCTGAAGTCAACTCGGAGTTTGGCTCTGGGTCCTGCGCACCCTTAATTATGTACAGATTTAAACTTTATTTCCTTTTTATTTATATATAATACGATAGAAACATTAATAATAATGACATAATAATGAAATAGTATACATAATTTACACACTATAATTTAGATCATACAAATATATACAATTTGGTAAAGAGCTAAATTTTATTATTTGTCACAATTCAATTTATATTGTATTTATCCAATTTTATGCGGAAAAGAATCTGAAAGTAACTCACTCGACAATGCTCAGCGATGCTCGGGTAGGTTATGTTACGGCGTACGTTTGTACCCCTTCTACAAATAAAATTGCTATAGGATAATACCGGAACCACCCATTTTGCATTTCTCTCGGACCTCCGTCGCCTCTATTTCTTCCTACAGGAGTTCACACTCCAGTTAGGATAGAGCTCAATGCATATAACGTATATTGCTTCCTCCATAACACTTATTAGAACTTGCACGTCTATCATGCTTATTATTGTTAGTAATTCAATCTCATATTCATGTAAGCATATGTAAATATACAGGGTGTCCCAAAAATGTTGTCCCAAAACACCTTGAGAAGGGTGGTTCGGGAGGTGATTTGAAACAACTTTTTCCTTAGCGAAGATGTTGTCCGAGGTTTCGTTGAGGAGATATTAACAAAAAACCCTGACTAATCAGAGCGCGCGTATACCGCTGGAACGCCGGCGGGAGCGAAGGCTACGAGCTAAGCGGCCGCGCTTGTACGCGAACAAGTGACTCGACGTGCATCGAAAGACATTGACGCGGCCGCTTAGCTCGTAGCCTTCGCTACCACGGCCGCTCCAACGGTATACGCGCGCTCTGATTGGTCTGGGTTTTCTCTTAATATCTCCTTAACGAAGCCTCGGACAACATTTTCGCTAAGGAAAAAGTTGTTTCAAATCACCTCCCGAATCACCCATTTCAAGGAACTACAACATTTTTGGGACACTCTGTATAACAGACATGTAAAAGAAAGAAAAAAATGAGACTCGCATATCTAGTGAAGTATGGAAAAGCTTATATAGTCGTTAACAACTGAAAATACTTCTGAAGTAAATGCAAATACTACCCCTCAATTATACTCAGGGCCGGTGTGACCTTTTGCGGGGCCGGGTTCAAAAATTTTGCGGGGCCTGAATTCACATTCAAATCCTACACTTAAATTCTACAACGTGGAATTATTTATTTACAAATATGCTGTTACATATCTTTTATAAGATGAATATTAAATAATAATACTTTGATGATATTTGCCACTCCTTTAAACTGAATCATCGGTAATAAAAAAGTAGTCTTATAATTATATTATATTTGAAATAGTTGTAAGCATTAGTGCTAGATGACGCAACCAGTAACGATTTACCGACATTGTGGCACATTCACATATTTTACTTTATTCCACATCATTCCACGCATAAATTGGAATAACATGAACTCTTAACCATTGGTTTATACACAAGAACTTCTCCAAAAACCTGTTTTTTCATCAAGGATAGCTCAGATGTAATTAAGTTGTTTAAAATCTCGTCATAGAAGGTAAAGAAATTATCGATGAAAAAATAATACACAAAGTTTCTTGTTACCTTGTCAGTAGTATTTATTGTAATTTCATTTCGAAACGTAAGAGATAAATATGAGAATATACTGGTGAATTATACGCGATCGCGGTTTCAAAGGACGCGGGCTATGGTCGCCTCGAAACGTTCCCATCGATCGACGGTGCTCGATGCTCGGTTCGATATTCCCCCACCAGATGGTGGGCGACAGGACACGTGACGTCACAGGACTCGGTCACCGGAGAGCGTTCCTAGCGGCAGTTCTCGAAAGTACGTTCACTCGATAGGACGACTGTCGTCTGGCGCACGACGAGCTTGAAGCAATATGGCGAAGTGTGTCATGAGCTCGATGAGACGTAGTGCCGTTTGAAAGGATGAAAAGTTCGCGGTATGGGTTGAAAATAATGTAGCGCTATGAAGTTCGTGTGAAAATTCTATTTGTGTATACAAAAGCATCGAGCAGTTCCTTGTGATCGGGATATACAGTGCGCGTTACCGGTGTGAAATCATGGCTACGGATAAAATAAAGGTTGCCGTTCGGGTTCGGCCGTTCAATCGTCGAGGTACGTATCCTTCAAAATTGTGTCGTTTTCACCGAAAGTTTCTTCCATTATCTGCTAACCACTTGCGCCGATCGTCGTGCGTTTCGGAGCAGCCGTATTATCGTGCGTGTACGATTTCTCGAGAATCGACAGCACCGATTCCTACGCGTCGCGATCGGTGTAACGTTTTTGACAGTGACATTTTTCCATTTAATCCTTGGCTGCGAAGGAGTCGGTGTTTCCACCTGCCGCGCGCGATATCGAGCCTCGTTATCGTCTCGTGTTTCCTTATCTGACTCTCGTATCGCTGCTTCGTGTCTCGATAAAGAACGAAACGTGGAGAAGAACACTGTGCAGGGGCCAACCTCTTCGACAACCCGCGTCTCTAGTGTTTACCAGTTGAATCTTCGTTGCTCCTTTGTCCGAAATACAGAGGTCACCGTGTCGTGTTCGTAGCATCGATGCGTTGTCACTGATTGCTTTGTGATTACCTTTCCAATCATCGTTCCCTGTTGTCAGACTAATCGGTAGCGCCATTCGTATTAGTAATCTGCCGTTGTGAATCTTAATATCCAATGATTAGTGCCTTATTGCTCGGTAATCGTTGATCGCGATTAACTCTTCGAGACACGATTTAAAGGAAACGGAGAATTCCAACTGCGAGGCAGGATAGTGTCAACAACTAATCCGTTTCGACTTGTACAAATTCCTGTTGTCGCTTATTTACCATTTAGCATTTAGCATTCAGTTCGTAACATTGCCAGCTGAATGAGAAAACTGTAAGTAAAAGGTGGGACAATTTAACCCACTTAACATCTGAGTTAATCGTGATCGTGGAGACGTCGATGCAAATCGTGTCGCGCGAGCCAGCGTACGTTAAAATTTCCAAAGAACGTAAGCAGCGCGTGCACTCTCTTCTCCTTTTATTCGTTTTCTTTGGCTCGTGCGAAAAGATCGCGTTGTGACATCAACCTGTCGTACGACGAGACATCAATATTCGATTCCAAATCGATTTCCTCGTAAATCATCCAACTATTCGCGAGGTTCGCAATTTTTAAATTCACGCTGAATAAATAGCTAACTAACCTCGTAGTATCCATCTCTGTAACGTCTTACGTATGCAGATCTAACATGAAAATGGTAGGTTGTCCCAAAAGTTTCTTTCGTAATGTACATTCAATTATTCTGTACGGTAGTGTTTATATAAATAGACAATCTAATTTCTTAGACATTGATGGTGTAACAGTAATGGAGCGAAATGAATTGTACACAATTTTCTAATGTAACATAAAACATAAAATATTGTGTATGTGTTGCTTATTAATGAAATGGAAGAAACTTTTGGTACAACCTAATATATCCGAGATGTACTGGACAATCGAAGGAACGATTTTTCGAATCGATTCCGTAGGATTCTTTGGTGCAAATGAATAGATTCCAGATTTTTCAATGAATAGATGAATAGATTTTTAAATTCACGTCGAATAAATAGCTAATTAACCTCGTAGTCTCTATCTCTGTAACGTCTTACATATGGAGATCTAACATGAAAATATATCCGAGATGTACTGGACAATCAGAGGAACGATTTTTCGAATCGATTCTGTAGGTTTCTTTGGTGTAAATCAGTGATGGGCAAAACCCTAGACTTCGAATAAATTCGAAGTTTTCTGCCGTGTGTTCTCTCATTTCCTTCTTTGGAAAATGTTCAACAGAAGAAACGAGACAAACATATCGGCAAACTTCAGATTTATTCTTAGTCTAGGGTTTTCATTGCAAATGAATAGATTCCAGTCATTTCGA